GATAAAAAACATTACTTTATTGTCATATAAGTAATGGACCCCACTAAAATTACCTTTCCGTTACAAATTGAAGAGTGTCTAATGTAAGCCGTGTAAAAATGATTGATTTGCAACTATGCAATGAGTTGAGGGGTTGAGTCGTATCTGTTTTTAGTTGAGGGGTTGATTTGTCACTATTGACTGAATATAGGGGTTGAGATACCTTTTTATCTTTTTTTAGATTTGAACTGTACTGATTCAATTTCGGTATGCCGGCGATACACGTAAATACTATCCATACCGACCGCTACGAAACGGTACAGACAACTATACTTTGAATTTTGAAAGCGATGAAAGAGAGCGAAAGGTGCAGGCCTCCGTCAACGCGCACTTTCACCGCGCGCGGCGAGCTCCTTGCGCGTACCCCGTCAGTATAAAATTCTTGCTCGCAGCTCATTTACTCATGCTTATTCGTTTGCTACCCTCTTTAATTATTACTACCTTCTGTTTCATTGAATTGCCGGTCCTCTGATATCGACGGGAGTAGAAATAGGTCGAGACAATGGCTGAGAGTCTTCAGGCTAGTCGCTCTGTTCTCGCTGCAAATCCATTAGGTAAAGGATATATGCTGGAGTTTTATTTTCGTTTCGAGTTCTTTGAATTCGAGGTTTAATGCTTCCTACCCCCTCAGTTCCTATTTATTCTGACTCTTGCGCATGTGATTTTTGATGTTAAAAATGGCTGAATAAATATGTCTGTTAGTGGTAGTTCCAACTTCCAAGCACTGGCGAAGCCAGAAAATATTTTTAGGGGAAACAAATAAAATTTCAACTAAAAAACAATAAATTTGTGTGTCAATTTAAAGAGTTAAAAATATTTTTTCAATAACATTTGTTAGTTTTTACTTTTTAACAATAAACTAATAATAGTTGATAATATGGTATAAACAGCATAATTAAAAGATAAAAATAAACATATATTAAATAAAAAATATATACTATAAAGAAAGAAAGAGGAAGTAAAGATTTTAGCAGATAAATATATTATAAAAAATTGATAATAAATAATTTTTATTCAATTAATTTTTATTTTTTTACATATTTCATATTATCTTTATTTTCCTCATCTTTCTCTTTATCATTAAAAGTATTGTTCAACAACACAAATACAAAAAAATTATTAATTAAAATGGTATGAAATAAGTGAGGATAAAAATGAAACATAGGGACTAAATTAAAATTTTTCTAAAAGTTTAGAAAGGGCCTATGCACACTCAGGCTCTCTTTGGCTCCGCCAGTGATTCCAAGTCTCGGGGTTTATTCACTGCAATATATGTTCCTAATTACAATCCTATTAAATTATGAGCAGATATCCATTTACAAACAAGTCTTATATATCACATTTATACAAAATCTTGACCATTCATCTCTTCACTTTCAATGGTTGATATTTATTCACTTTTTACCATATTTATTAATATGAATGTGGAAATACTTTAGCATGCATTCCGTCTCTACATTTTGCTTCAAGTTATTTAGTTTATGGTACTTATTGCTTATAATTGGCATGGCGCAGATGTTGAGCAGATACTCTTAGCAGCACAGCGTCGGTGGTTATTGCCAGCTGAAATATGTGAAATTCTTTGGAATTATAAGAAAGTTGGCATTACCCCAGAACTCGTTAATAAGCCACCAAGTATTGTTCCCCCCAACTTTAATTAATTTTCATTAG